CTCACGGACCGCGAGATCGTGACCTGGCTGAAGTCGGACGCTTAACCGACTGCGCCACCCAGGCGCCCCTTGACACTTATTTTTGAGAGAGGGGCAGAGAGAGAGAGGGAGACACAGCATCCGAAGCAGGCTCCAGGCTCTCAGCTGTCAGTACAGAGCCTGATGTGGGGCTCGAACTCGAACCGTGAGATCATGACCCGAGCTGAAGTCGGACATTTAACCAGGCGCCCCAGCACTCATTTTAATAGATAATCTACAAGGTGATGACCGTGTGTGGTTCTCTGACTATACGTGTCAAGACGTGTTTTAGAATTATCCTTAGAAGCGTTAACTTGTTTCCTTCCCTCATAGGAGGTGGAGAAGGAATTCTCAGGAGGAGTGAATACTGGAGGAAGCAGGGAATATTCTAAAACACCCAGCTTGTTTTCACCAGAAGGGGAGGATCAGAGATTAGCGACAAGCCTTCGTCTTGACCTCCCGCCAGACCCCTACTTGGCATCCCACCAGCGGTTGAAGGATCCCCTCTTGCCACCACTGGTCACGTTTGGGGGTGGCACCGGGACCCTCGGGTCTGAGGGCCCTGCGTGTGGGTGCTGACAGGTGCTGTCCAAGCTCTGACCCTGTGGCCCTCGAGATCAGCCCGGCAGAAGAAGGGCAGGGGCCGCAGGGAGGGCGGAGACCCCCAGCTGCCAGCTGACATCCCGCACAGGTCCGTACAGGAGTGACCAGTGGGCCAGGTGGTGCTGATCAGGAGTGAAACCATCCCGACCGGAGGGCTCGTCCTGGGTTTTTCTCCTGGGGAGCCTGTGACGAGAGCTTGCCGCCCTCTAGAGGGGCTGTGAGCCCAGGGCAGGGACCACGGGCACCTGTCACCTCGCTCTCGCAAGCAGTGAGCTGTGCAAGGCCCATGACTGGTCTTGGTGCAGGGCTGGTGGTGTTTTCTTCTGCGTTTTCTGCGTTTTTGCTGGTTATTTTATCATGTAAAACACACACTTCATATCAGCGTAAAAGTTTTCGCGTCCCCCTCCACTTCCAGGACAGCAAGGGGAGAAGGGACAACTTGTCGGTGGTGGCCGGGACACTCGCGTCTCCACAGCGGGAAGGGGCCCGTCCTTGCACTGACCTGACCCCGTTCACTTTGCCTTCTGAGTTGGATGATATTTTAAGATTAGAAAGTACTCTGAAACGTTCCTTTAGATGTTTCCGTGTTCACGTGACCTCTGTCCTCTGCAGGAGAAGTACGGTATCGGGGAGCCCACAGTGCCGTCCACCATCGCGGAGGAGTTCACCTACAACCCGTTCATGAGAGTGAGGTGAGGGGCGTGGGCACCTCTGGGTCGCCCTCGTGCCGCCGGCGGGGGCCCGCTCACCAGTCCCTGCAGCTCCCGGGTGGCTCAGGCGACGCCACGGGGTCTTAGCAAGTGCCCTGAGCCTAGGAAGCAGGCGGCTTTGTCAGGGGTGCTCTCCTTACACGTGGCCAGGGTGTGGGGTCCTTTCTGACACCGCAGTCAGGATCCACGCGTGGGCAGGCACGGTCCCGGGGCGCTGCCGGGAGCCAGCGTGGAGTCCGTGTCCCCCGTCTCTGGGTCGCTGGCAGGACGGCTTGGCCAGCAGGCCTTCTACCGTTAGGAACACGCGAGTTGGCCGTTAGTGCCGGCCTTTCGTTTCGAAGAATGTCCCGACTTCTGCCTGCTCTTTTCTCCCCTGGGGCGGGCGGCGGGCCGGGGGGCACCACGTGCGGCCTGCAGCCTGGCCTTCGGCTTCCGCAGGGAGAAGACGGTGCAGCAGCATGCTGGCGAGACGGACCCGGTGACCACCATGAGGGCCATCCGCAAAGAGAAGGACCATTTCAAGGTGCCCCGGGACTGAGGTGGCCGTAGGGCCTGGGGCGCCCGTGGCCGCTGCCGCCTTCAAGCACATTTTGGGTGTTCGGATGTTTTAGGTGAATTTCCTGCCATGAGTGCAGGAAATTCAATCTTGGCTTAATTTTAAATTAATTTCAGAGCCCTTTGCCAGTGTTATCAGATGTTCTAATGCATATTTATAAGAGAAGTCTAGAAAATGTATTATTCCCCGATGCTCTGCTTGCGGACTCTCTGTTCTCTCTGGCCTTTGGTGGGGCCCTGGTCCTCGCCGTGTGAGCCCCACATGGTGCCCTGTGAGCGCCGGCCCCCTCCCCGCCCCGTGCCCCCCAGAGCAGGACGCCTGGGGGACGGCGTCGCCCTCACCTCCTTCTCTGGTGGGTCCTGTGGCGTCCTCTTCACAGAGCCGTTTCCGTGTGGACGTGGAGTAGAACCCCAGCCCCACCTGGGGCACCGGCCTGGGCCGGGGCAGTGAAGGGTTCGTTGACACAGCGTTTCTGTGCTTGGGACCTCCGCCCCACGGTGCCCCGATCCCTGGGTGCCTGGTCCTGGGCCGCCCGCAGGGACAGGCGTGGATACCGTGCCTCGTGTGGATGAAGGAGCTCTCCGATGCGACCGCCGGCACCTTGCCGCCCCCGCTGAGGTTTGATCCATCTGGCCCCCCTGCAGGGAGAGGCCCCCATCACCTTCGCCCTGGCCGAAGTGCGGGGAGGCCAGGTCCCTGACCTGCGTGTCCTTGCCCCGAGTTCCCTCTGCTTTTGCCGGAGGAAACCCCGAAAGCCGCTGTCCCGGGCAGCGGCCATCTCCTTAGCCAGCCGCCACAGGCCAGACCCGGGCTGGGGGAGCGGGGCGGGCTCTGGCTGCACTGAGCCTCAGCCCAGGTGGGGGTAGCGGGAGGACCCGGAGGCGGGACAGGGAGGGATGAGGCTCGGGGCCCAGCCGGGGGCAGGACGGGCTGCTCACGTGTGCACCCGGAGGTCTTCCCGGTTCCGACCCGACCTCCTCCGCTCGGCTCTGCCCTGCGACGCACGGCGCCCGAGGCCCTGCCTGCCCCACCCTCTCCTGCTGGACGGCCCACGGTTAGTGCTTCTCGTCCAGCTGAGGTTGTCTCCCGCCACTCTCCTCAGACGGCCTCCGGTCGCCAAGGACCTGTGCAGGTCCTGGCTCCGCAGCTGCCCGTGTGGCCACGGTGCCGTGCGGCCGGGGAGCAGTCACCCTTGTCCAAAGAGGAGGATGCCTTAGGTGGAGCCTCAGCCCCCCTGCGCCCCCAGGTGTGTCAGGGAATGGGGTTTCTGTGGGTCCTTATAGATGCTTCATTTTGTAGCTCTGTACCGCCAACTGGGCATAGTGGCGTGGGCGTCTCAGGATGCGTCGTGGTGCTTTGCGAGGCCTGTCGGTACCGGAGAGCGCGGGTATCCGGTGTGGCCCTCTGCTGTGCCCCCTCCGGCCGGGCCCTGTGCGTGAGCAGTTCTCGTGTAGCCAGGGACCCCGCGGCCACCGCCTCCCCAGCCCACCTCCCCCCCACCCCGCGGGGATGTGTTTCCTTAGTTTGCGTGTTACCGACTGCACGTTCAGATGCCAAAGAAGAGAAATAAACGTTTCTGAAACGTACGAACACAGAAGCACGCTCCCGCACCCGGCCTCTCCCCACCCCGGGAGCCCCGGATAGCAACTCCCTTTGCACATGTTGTCCTTGGTGGTGGGACCCGCTGGGCCACCCCCACTGGCTCTTGGGCTGTGGCGCGGCTCAAACGCTCTCACGTGGGCCCCAGCTGGCCGTGGAGGACGGGCACTTGCACGCGGGAGAACGTGTTGGCCCATCCGGTGGAGGAGTCTTGTCCGCCGCACGAGGGTGTGGACCGCCCTGGGGCTGCTCCGCGGGCCTCGCGTGTGCTGGCGTCTGCGGCCCCCCGGGAAGCGAGCGGGGCGCTCCGTGGAGGCTGCACGAGAACCGGCGGGGACGGGGGAGGCTGGCCGTGTGCGTTTCCGACCCCGGGCTGCCTCTCCTCGGGCTTCTGGCCAGTGTTCTGCTGGCTTTGCCCCTCGCCGACCTTCCCCGTTGAGGGTCAGCCGCGCTCCGGTCACACGTGTTTGAGTTGGTCGCTCCGCACTCTGTCGTATTATTGAAGAAATCTTTGATGGAGTCAAGTTCGTGTCTCCTACTTTCCGTCCTCTGCTGCCCTCCTGGTTACGTGCTTGCTTCTGACACTCGTGTTTGTAATTCACGTGAAGATGCTGTTATGCTGGTGGTCGGTGGTTTGCCTCCCTGGAGGCACTTTACGTCCCCCCTGCTCGTCTGCACCGCCAGCCCGAGGGCCCGCATCCGGGGGTGCAGACCCGTTCTGAGGCCCCACATTCCCCCTTACTACAGCTTTAGAATAAGTCTTTGTTTCTAGGAAGGGACACGGCCCCACCTGGCCCTTTGCCCGTATGTACGAACGTTAGAGTATTGACGGCTGTGGTTTGGGCCGGAATAGGGTTCACCGGATTTCTGGACTTGTGACAAGTGTCAGGCCATGGACATGCCCCCCCGTCTGGCATTAGGGTCTCTGCTGCTCTTCCTGTTGCTAAAACTCGTGTAGTGCCAGTGTCCGCGTGGCCCTGTGACTGAGGCTCGCGGTCCCCAAAGAGACTGTCCTCTCAGATGGCTGTAAGCTTGGCCCCCCCTCCCCAGGCCTCCTGCCCTTCTGACCACCTGGCTGCGACTTCCACGCATTCCCACTGACCCCTCACCTTCCGTAGGTCACCAGCATGGCTCCTAGAACTCAGAGAAGTGCCACCGTGATGATTTCGCAGTGTGATTATAACAGGCACAGCCAAGCAAACAGGGCCCGGAACGTGGGCTGTGCCCACTGTGGCACACGTGAGCCTGTATTGAGGTGCTCTGGGGTCACTGCATCATCCCTGGCCCTGCGAGTGAACTCTTGCAACCGGGTGGGTCCTTCTGGTAGGACTGTCCCCCTCGAGTGACTGCGTTAAGGTAAATTCAGGTGTGTCGAGGCTGCTGTGACCATGTGGGAAATTCCAAGGAAGTAGAGACTCCCTGCCCGACCCAGGGGAAGGCAGAGCGCCACGCAGCACTTGCCTGGGTGACGTCAGGTGTCACGGCTTCCTTCCCAGACGTCGGTTCTCCGGGAACGTCAGTCCCAGTCTACTTTGTTCTTGTCGTAAATGGCGTCTTTTTCAGATCACATCAGTGCTCAGGAACGTAAAGGAGCGCAGTGAGCTTTGTTTAGGGAACCTCCTTTTCCCCACGTGGGCTCCGTTTCCTTCGTGAACTTTCTGCGGTCTTGCTGCTTGGCCTTTTGTCCCGTGGGTCTCCCGTATTGAGGTGGGGGGAGGGGAGAGAGGCACTGCTCCTCGTCCTGAACCCCAGTGACCGGTCTGACAAACACCTGGGGGCCGAGGCCGAGCTCCCCTTGGGGTTGAGTGAACACAGAAAGCCCTGCCCTTGTCGAATTTCTGTCCTGGTTAGAGGGACGGAGTGACAAGATGGACGTCCTGGGCAGCTCGGACTAAGGAAGCACTAAGGAAAATAAAGTGGGCAAGGAGCAAGCGGGAAGCCTTGTGGCCAGGGAGGTGACGTGAGCAAAAACCAAAGGTTTAGGGAGAGGGCCTTGCTGATCTCTGGGAGAGACCAGCGAGCGCCGAGGCCCTGGGGCAGAAGTGCGCGACGGGAGCCCAGTGTGGCTGAGCCGTGAGGGGAGGCGACTGGGGAGCGGTGGCAGGCGGGTCGGCGGACAGGGTGCGGGGGGACCCTGGGGGCCACTCGCAGCCGTGTGGAGGTGGGGGCGGGCAGGTCTCCACGGGATCTCGAGTGCGTGTGGGGCCGCAGGGGAGGCCAAAGGGTTCGCAGCGTGAGCCGAGCGGTGAGCACGCGGTTGTGGGGGGTCCAGCTGCGTCCACTGGGGCGGGGGGCGGGTCCAGGCCGAAGCGCGCCCTCGGGAGTCGCCAGCACCCGGGAGGCTGGGCGCGCTAGCGGGGCAGTGAGGTGGGGACGCCGGGGCGCCGGCAGGACACGCAGAAGTGTGGCTGAAAGTCACCCCCAGGGGAACCGGGCTTCGTCACACGCTTTCCTCCGGTCTGGCCAACTCTACGTGAGTGTGTCGGCGGCTGCACTCTGGCCTTCCTTGTACAAGCCCGGTCTGCTTCCTGTAAATGACGGCAACACGGTGCGGGGGGCAGGGGGAGGTCTCTTCACTCGTGGGGAGCTCGAAGGAGGCGATTCTGCTGGGAGCCTGGTGCTCGCTCTGTGCACTGTTTCACACCACCGGCTCCCTTCGTAAACGGTTATGGGCTGTCCCTCCGTGGGTTTCAGCCACTTGGGGAGACGTCTTTCTTCGCAACGTTTTCTTTTTTCTCTTTTCAAGAATTAAATCTCCATACCCAGTGTGGGGCTTGAACTCACACCCCACTGAGCCAGCCAGGCACCCTCCTTCCAGCATTTCCTGAAGGGGTCAGGGGTGCCCTCCTGCTCGCTGATCTCTTGCTGTGGCTCCCGCCTCCTGGGCTCCTAGGTGTCGCCTTTCTGAGCACGGATGCGAAGCTGGGAGCCTGTCCGAAGTGGGCGGTGCGGGGCACGGCCGTGTGGCTGGAGCCTGGCGTGGCTTCTCTCCTTCACCTCTTCCCTGACACGTGGGGGCTCTGAGGCGGCCCGTCCTCCTCCCGTCGGGCACGAGCCCAGGGCCCCGCGGCCCGGGGAGGAGCAGAGTCTCTCCCTAGGGCCGTGCGCCTGCTTTCCTGGCTGGGGTCTGTCTGCCCTGCTGTGGTGCTGCTCTCCAGCTAGGAAGGCGCTGGGGTCTTAGCGGTGACCGGGCCTTACTAATCAGAACCTACCACATGTCTCTGTGTACGAGGTGAGGTTCACAGCAGTGACCCGAGTGTGTGTTTCAGGGCCTTTGAGGACGTTCATCGTGGTGTAGCCCCCTGAACTTTTCATCATTAACGTGTCAGTGAAACCATAAAAGCAGAGGCTTCTCTTGGTCCATCTCCCCAGGATGCCGATCCTGGGCCGGAGCAGCAGGGAGGCCTGGGATGTGGTCTGGTGTGGGGCCCACAGATCCAGACGGCGAGACACCTGTGCCCATGTGCCGCCGGGGCTCTGTCTGCAGCAAAGGTCAGCCCTTAGCAGAGGTGGGGGTCAAGCCCATCCGGGGTCCCACCGTGGCCAGGTGGGTGTGTG